GATTTGAAGATGACTGACCGCGCATGCCACGTGGTGTGATCCTTTTTCAATTTGTTTGAACTTACTCGAGCTGTGATTCGTGTTCAATTTTTGAACTTACTCAAGCTGTGATTCTTCTTCGATTTGTTTGAACTTGCTCGACTTACTCGAGCTGTGATTACTTTTTTCAATATGTATGATTAAAGTTAGAGCTTGTCAGCGAAAATGGTTGAGACCATAATTGTTATGGATGACTTGTGCCCCCACGACGATCCTCGATCACTACTAAATCATGCACGTTCTATTGGCCCTAGAATGTGATTGTGCCAAAAGGAAAGAAAATAATGAAAACAAAAAGAATTGTATACCATTTCTGCTCGATGGACTTCTCAAGTTGCACCATTGATAATCTTAAAACAATGTTTGAGAACAACCTCATTATGGGCAGCAATCTGTCACTGAGCTAACCTACACGACGATCTCCTGTGACAACGACGAGAGCGAATTAATTGCGCACAACGCTTGTTCAAACACGGCGCGTACTGCTTCGCACTTAAGTAGCTTTTCTTTAGGATTTCGCAATTCAGTTTTTTAGGGGTATTTCGCACTTAAGTAGCTACCTCGGCTGGGCTACACTGCGCGCTGTGCGCTAGCTGGGCTGGCTGGCAGCCTCAACCGGCTGGGCCTTTTCCTTTTCGTTCTTTTTTTTTGTTTTCTTTTCTCAATTTTGAATTTCAATTTGATTCAAAAACCAAATTGCTCCAAATTATTTGAGGAAAAATTACATAGCATTATATTAATACTTAGGACTTAAGGAAAAAAGATTTCCTGTAAAAATAAAATTGGTACCCTTATTTGAAATAATGTAATTATTCCCTTTTGATTGAATTGATTCAAAAGTAAAATTCTCTCCATTCAACCTGGGAAAAAAATTTGAGTCTCAAATTATTATTTGGTACTTCTTAAAAATACTTTTCTGACCAAATTAAATATTTGAATTGTCTTCCTATTTTATGGATATCAATTTACTCCCTAAATTCCATAAAAGAATCTGCCTAAATTCTGTCAGGGTTCATTTTAAACCCCAAACTGAATTTAGGGTTTCGATTAATATTTTGGATTTTATAAAAAAATAGTTCCAACCAAGAAATACTTGATAGCAGTCTCAAACAATTTTGTAGCTTGGCATTTATAAATCATCCCTAAATGACAATTTAGGGTTTTGAATAATTCCAATGTTTTATTTGTGCGACAATTTCACTCAAATCAATCAACTCCTAGTCAGAACTAGCTAAGATCAAGCAATCATAAGCAAAATTAAAAAAAAAACATGGTCATAATTTATTTTTCCACATTTGTAATTTGGGATGTGGCAATTGCTCATTCTGGTACAACGCGAGAGGCACCATATCGAGAGATCTTTCATGTTCATAACAAGAGTTATGCTTGCATTTAGATGAAGTTGAGAAAAGTGTAATGATCAGTATTGTAAGGTGTTGCTTCTACCTTGGGAGAAAAAAATAAGAAAAGAGAAAGGATCCAAATAAAAAATGTGCCAAAGAGACACCAAAACAATGTAAGAGAGAGAAGGCGCGATACCATTACCCTTTTTGGAGTACACATGTAAAAGTGCTTCAAAGTAGCGCCAAGTGCTCATAGTAGTAATTTTCCATAGTTGTTTCAAAGTAGCACGACTTCATTGCATTTCATTGTTGACAGTTCATGAGTTTCATGTACACTAGTGGGGGATTTCACATTATAGAACTTGATTTTTATATTCCAATGATGAGCTTCCTCAAATGAGCTCTAGATCTTCATGAGCAAGCAAGGTTGATACACTTGCATTAGTTCATAGGAGAGATTTCATTCATATTTAGCTCCAGGTGCATCCTAGTTGTATGGCAATGCCTACTCCTTTCCCAATATCTATCATAAGGTCTTCCTCTTTTCCTAATGGACAACTGCATTGTAGCGAGACTTCTTGTTTTTCAATTCTTTGAAACCCACAAAATTAATTTCTCTTTGCCTTCATTATGGCATAAACTCACAATTGCGCTCAAATTCTGAAGAAGGTAAGATTGTGAAATAGAGCAAACATACAACAAGTGATTGTATTTGGTCTTGTATAGAGGGTTAGCCTAGAAGTGATTGCCATGTTAATATACCTTGCATTAATGATTATCATTGTTTACCCAATAAACTTTACATTCATTCTAAACCTTTGGCAATGGTGACTTTGACTTGTTGCATTTGTTTATCAAAGACTATGTGGGGCCTTCTTTTGTATGCGTTGAGATAGTTGAAGATTGTTAATATAGATATTTGCCAAACATTTCTTTTATTACTTTAGACTCATCGTAAGTGTTACATCAGTTGACCAAGATCATGATTGGTACCATTCATATCCATAAACTTTTCTTTTGTTGTCATCTACATGCTCGAGGACCAGCTATTTGTATGGATCCCGAGGTGATTGGGGATGCTGATACATATCAAACATATCGATAATTTTTTCAGGTTTCATGCTACTTTGCTATCAATCCATACACTCTGGGCATATTTTTTACTACCTTCTATTGAGCATATTAATCCAGTGCATGTTTCTGTTTTTGGTGTTTTTGGAATTTCAGGAAAACATCACATAGAGTCCTTGAATAATATTAGAAAAAATAGGTTTCAAGTATTTTGCCCGGAGTGGACCATGTGCAAGGCCCACTCCAGGGGGCGCTCCTCCATTGCCTAGGCTCCTAGTGTAGGCACCCTGGCACCCAGGGGGGCTAGGGCCTGCGGGGTCCTCCTGGGTGCCTTCGGTGGCCGGTGGCTTACATATACCTCCCATAACAACCTCCGATCCATCAACGATTTTTTTGCCCCCCACTACATCACGTTTTCAAGGCGATGTTTGTTTTCTCTCTAATCTGTCTTTGTGTCATATGAAACCTTCATCTTCAACCCCTACGTCAAGCCTTGCTGCTCCCATGGTGATCTGAGAGTAGTCCCCTTTGAGGCTGAGGGTTTGTGACAGTAGCCTTGCGTTAAGTAACTCCTTGATATTACGAATTGCCAGGATGATTATGATCTTGGGCATTGATGACTAGTTGAATTGTATGATGTACCTCTTTGGATGAGTACCTTTATGGATTAAATCTTGTTCATGTTATTTTCTTGAACTTAAGGAGTTAATTATATTATGTGATTTATATGTAGTATAATCCCTGGAGACATCTGTAGTGACATTACAATGACTCGTTAGAGAAATATTGAACGATATAGATCATAAGGTGATTGTCTAGTATCATTTTTTAGGCTGCCTGGGGTGACATTGGGGTGTGCCTTGTAGATTAGAAAGACAAACCTAAAGGTGAGCCAATCCATGCCTACTTTATCACTTCTGGAATTGATCCAACATTTTTTTGTGAGATTGTATCATTTATGAGTGAAGTTATCATGTTGGGACTTGGGAGTTGACACTAGTGAAAGCTATAAACCCTGGGCATCTTTTCCAAGCATTGTAGACCTGGTTTAAGTCATGTTTTCATATTGTTACCTTGCTACTTTAAATATCTAGAAATTGCAAAAATATTACCACCATCCATATTACCTATGTACCATCAAATTTATCGATCTCTTCACTGAACTAGTACACATATAATTGACAACTGTATTAGTGTATTGGGGACACAAGAGGCTTCTTATATCTTATTGCGGGGTCGCTTAAGAGGAGAATACAATAATCTTATACCTCCAGCAAATTGATAAATATTAGGTCATCCATTTGAGAAAATTTGCTAATGTACTACAAACTCTGCGTTTGAAGGCCAACAAAGTCTACAAAAATAGAAGTTGTGTAGTAGACATCACAAGGCGAGGAGGGAGCTGAAACTTCCATCCCGCGCTAGCCTCCAAATATGAAGCCTCGTGGATTGTATATGGAGCGTACTCCATAAATTATGATGACCGAGAGTAGAGTGGCCTTTTAGGCCAAAATCACGATATTGATGACTATTATGCTGATCAGACCTATATGACGACTTTGCTAGAGATGCTCGGTCTTTTGATGCAGTGGTGGAATGCAAACGATTGGAAGGTGAAGCATTGTAGATTGGCATGGCTAGTGGGGAAGTCCAGGGTGAGCGTGATTGGATCACTGGGTCGTTTAATTTTTGTGTATGCTCACGTGCCTCGCATGTACTCCCTCCGTAAACTAATATAAGAGCGTTTAGAATACTAAAATAGTGATCTAAACGCTTTTATATTAGTTTACAGAGGGAGTATAGGGGGTGAGCAGTATGAGTAAAATCTGGCCGTTAATTTTTGATGGCATTGTTGACTTTTTCACCTAAAACTGGAATTTCCACAAGCGGGGCACACGTAGCCATGTGGTGGCGGCCTGCGCTCGTTCGTTGGGTGGCGTTGATACGAAGCGGCCTTCATCTGCAACCTGGAAGGCAAGTTTCAACCTGACCTCTTCTTCTTGCCGTCCGGACGGACTGGAGTAATCAATCGGTCGGCTCTGTTGCCCTTTTTTAGGGACTTTGGGTTCGTATATATATCTGAGTTCAGGTTCTCCCGTTGGCTAAATAACACCGACCGCGGCCGTCAGATTCGCTCGCCCCGCTTCACGGTTCACGGTCACTAGCGAGGCCCATCTTCTTCACGAATCGAATCCCAGCTGCGAGAGCTAGCGTCAGTTTTTCCACTTGGTGATTCTACACTACACGCCCAGCTGTGAGCCTGTGACTGTGAGACCCATCTGCTGGAAATAGCTAGCGGCACCTGCCGGCTGCCACGTCTTGATTTGCCGGCCCAAGGAAGGAACGGTGGCCGTCATTTTCCACGACCTCAGCTCAGCTCCTTTCCATTCACCATCTCCATTCCTCTACACGTCAAGCTCACCGATCCGCCATCACCAGGCCGGCTGGCCGCAACCTCCATAAATACCCCTGTGCGCACAAACTACTATAGTACACTACTCACGCACACCATCTTGAACTATTCTCGTCAGCTCTGCTCTGTGCATGATGGCCTCGTCGGGGCAGCGCGCGGTGGCTCTCGCGGCGCTCGTGGTCGTCGTTCTGGTCGCCCGAGCAGGCCCTGCTGGCGCGGCGCGGCAGATGCCGGTGGAGAGGAGCGGGGACCGCACGGCGTTCTCGGCCCTCTACCCGGCGGCGACGGTGGTGGCGGCGGAGAAGGTGGAGATGCTCATGGCGAGGCTGCCGGCAGGGCCCAGCAAGAGGGGCGCCGGCCACTAGCTGCGTACGTAGGTCGCCCTCGACGGACAGCTTGGATCGGCATGCCGCATGCAAGGTTTTGTAGACACGTACACGGAGAAATGATGTGAATTACTGGTTTAGTGAGTCCATAGGCCCCTCACATCGTACTACTAACTGCATGTAGAATGACTCCTTGTTATCTTCTTTTCCTTTCTTTCTTGTACAGGTAAGACCTAGAGTGGTGCACGCGCTTGTAACGTGTTTTCTCGCTGAAACGCATTAGCAATTCGAGCTGTGATTCTTTCTCAATTGGTTTGAACTTACTCGAGCTGTCTAGTTGCGCAACTGGCAATCTCAAAAGAATGTTTGAGAACACCTCGTGCCGGGCCGAATTTGTCAGTGCTCCCGTGACAACGACGAGAGCAATTGATCTTGAGAGCTGAGATCAATGGTCGTCCTATATCTCGTACATCCATGACCGAAACAAAACTTATAGCTAGCTACCATATGTGCTCATTGACTTATGTATCTTTTTAATGCTCCATTTTAAGCCAATAAGAAACACCTTTTGTCAAAAAAGAAAACTAGCTACTGGCGTTGCAGCATTCCACGATGGGAACGTGTGAAAAGTAAAGGTGTTTCTCAACGAGACGAGACACCGAAGGCACGCGGGCTCCCGGAACTTTCGTTGTCTGACTTGAGGTACCCCGGCTGCATGGTAGTAAGTGGTAACAAACGACCCAGCCCGGTCGTGAGATTCGTACGTGCGGCCACTTTACGGTCAGGACCGATGCCGTCTTCACGAAAAGAATCCCAAAATCGCAAAAGCCCAGGCCCTTTCCCCTTCTTCGCAAGCAACGGACCGAACATAAGTAGCGCGACGTCATGTTTGCTCGCCCCCACCTGCGAGACTAGCTGACTTGATAAGAATCTCCTTACCACTTCCCTTTGAATTTTGACACATGAAATATAGCGCCGTGTTCTTCTCTCTCTCTCTCTCTCTCTCTCTCTC